GCACAAACATATAAACCGACTCACCTTACCGAGCTTCTGGTACGGATGTGTTATTCATCGTAACAAATGTCCCATGTGTAATACTTTGTAATGCGGTAGCGGCAGGGTGTGTTACCATGCCCCAGGGTAGTTGATTTGCCGGAACGCATCACGCAGTAGCCCGGACCACAGGATCCTGTTAGTCGTCTCTACGACAAGTATGGGTTGCTAGAAGACCCACGAAAGTAACCCGGATCTTCGCCTTTACCGCATCAATAAGCAGGATACAACAAACCATGCCTTCTCAGCATATTCGGTGGACTCAGAGAGTTGGAGAGAATCTCTTGAGTCACACGTCCTACGGTTCTACACCATTACATCTCGGTTATGCAGAATGGCATTTAGCCATTTTTATCCTGATAATTTGGCTTCTGGAAACGTGGACGCCATTATTAAAATTTGTTTGAGTGTCCTGATCTCTGTCTCTTAGTCATTAATCACTCGCTTTCGTTTTGGTAACAAAATTTTTGAATCTGTAATGCCACCTCAAAATACGCGGATTTGTATTTAATTTGAAACCTTGTAAAATACAAATACACCCATCATATTAGCTCGACGTTTTTCACACCGTGTCCTCTTCTTGACTGGATTTCTAACTGGAATACGGTTTGCATTCGCCGAGGGGGGAAATAACTATTGTATAGCGATAGTCTTACGCGACCCTACCATTGTGCTGCGGCTTTTTCCTCCCTGAATGGGGCGCGGGTGGGTACTCCATCGGTTTTCATAAAGCGCTGGCTCGTTGAAGACCTGGGGTTCGAATCCCCAGCTATAGCAAATGCAAAGCCCATTTCAAAAGTCCCGTGGATGTTAAGTTGGAATATTATTAAAAGGCATGTAAAACCAAACCTTAGTCAGTCAGTCGGGGTCCGTCTTAATCAAGCTGTCTCATTTGGCTTAATTTTCCAAATGGAAATGTACAAAGTATATATGAAATGAAAACAAGAAATGGAGTGACGTTATGTCACGAAAACCTGTGATGAAGGTAAACAGTTAAAACATAAACTACCCAAAATGACATCTTTGTATTTTGATCTGTGCATTTATCAATATAGTTTACCAATAACTATCGATAGTCATTACCAAAATCCAAGGTTTGCGCAATTCCGCCCGTATCCCCTAAATTTCAATCTGAATGAGGAAGATTTTGAGGGGTGATTTCGCTTATATAAGTTGATAGGTCTTCAGTAGCGTTCCATGCTGCAATTTTAAAAAACAGTTGCCAAAACCATCCTTTATCGATGAGAAGCCATATATTCCAGTATATGAATTTTGACTGTAATGAAATCTTTACAGGGGATATGGTCGGAAGTCTTTCCTAAACGATCGTACCGATAAGCGTTTTAGTTTCTACCATCGAGAAGTTGTTGCCATTGAGATCTAAATAATAGCACGCATCTTGCAATCCGTATGTTCCATATATTTGCCGTTTTACGCCCGCAACGCTTCAGCAGGAAATGAATTTCATCCTGTTAGTCACCCCAGGTTACCGAAGGATCAATTCGAACTGGATCTTCAAAGGGTATGGGAATCAACAGGTAATGCTTCAATATCCCCAGAATGTAATATAATTTAAAAACCGCTAAAGCCAATTACAGCAGAAGATTTCACCTAACTTTGATTAGGCCGAAATAAATATTTCAAAAAAGAAACCTAAACTAATGTACCATATATTTTAGCGGTGTACAGAGATCTTTCGCAAAACCACCTCCAAAATTCGTAGTAAATTGTAAAGAAAACTGAAAACAATAATCATCGGTATATATAATTTTATTGCTAAATCTTTATAGTTAATTCTACAAAAGCAGGACCCTTTCCGGTGAGATACCTGTGAATACTGGACTGAGGTGTATTCAGCACAGTCAATCTACCGTAGCAGTTGGTCATTATCACGGAACTCCCTTCCACATTTTTGTTACTGTCCCACCCCGCGGCTATTGTTGGGTTGAGATTCGCCGCTGGATGAATTTCATACTTCATTGTGCACAATGGATAGGAAAATGTTCAGTGCTAAATCAAAACGTTCCAGCAAACTTTCTTTGACACCGCATATTTAACATTGACGGGTGGCTGACGGAAAATTTACCAGAGATAGCAGTGATAATCTTTTAAAACCTCCGCTCAACATCTTACATTAACCGCGATAACCCCTATTAGGTGGCGTCTAAAAACTGGCGACCTAACCTTCACCCGAATCGATGAAGCCCCGCCGCGTCTTGGATGATCGCTTTGATAGGCCCTGTCATCTTAAGTCGTATTTAATTGATTCGGTGAAATACCGTTTGCGCCTTCGTTCGAGTGAATGAATTTAATATTACGCCGCACTTTCGGCAGCATTCCAGTAGCATCACGGCAGGTGTTACCGGTGGGCTCGCCACATTGTACCCATAGAATCGTACCGGTCTCGCTGTACAGCGTCATCGCAAATCACTAGGGTGTGTAATCCATACAGACCACAAATAGTCCTTTTGTGATGCTCCTTTCAGAGAAGATGCAACAGTGCTATAAAACAACAGGTGGATATGTCTATGGTAACGATTTATCATCACATTTTAGATCAAGATATTTACTCGGCTCTTCGGAACATTTCACCTGGCCCAAGAATTTAGAAACATCCGCCGCCGAATATTGATAGTTGTAATTTGTGAATTGAGTTCAGTTATTTGTGATGCTAAATAAAAATCATAAATAATATCATTGCAACAAACCATCTTTAGTGTAATGTACCTCCACAATTACTTCAAAGCGAATTTATTCACATCACAAAAGTGCATAGATCTTCAGGCTGGTGTGAGATGCCCAAGTGATGTATACAGTCAATGTGATTAATTTTGCGTACAATCTTATCAGTCACCCACCACCTATTATGGCCTCTCGAAGTCCCTTCCATTAGACTGTATCCTAATGAGCCCTTTTTGTTCAGCCGCTTGATTACAGCAATACGCGTTGGCTGGAAAGACACTGTAAACACCAGTCTTGAATGGCCAGGGTCCTTTAGCGACATCATGCATCCAATCTTCAGTGGATGAATGAGTGAGTTTAGTTTTTACGCTGCACCCGCAGCGAGGTATGCCGCTCAAATAACGAAGCCCTGACCATGAACGGATCGCAATGATTTCAATCAACCACCAAACCGTATCACCCACCATTCGCCCATTCATCCATCCGCTTCACGTTGAGGAAGTTACCGTGAAGATCAATTTGAAACACGACTCTTCGCGATTCAATCGGTATTTATTACATAAACCGGTGGTCAAAACAGAAATGAATTGAAGCGTACCTCTTTAACTTTGGAGTCAGAACTGTATTGCGCTTCTACAGCCCCGAGCACCTTACTGGTCTATGGAGCTTCACAGAATGCGTGCGCCATGTTTGCAGCAATGTCCGGAATCTGTGAGTCTGCTCATCTACCGCAAACATCTAAACTTCCCGAAATGACCCTCTGCGGCCCGCTTATTTCGCCAATCTGGCGATGCGCTGATTTCGCTGCGCTCCCCGGCTGGTAAGTGCCACGCCAAGGTGCCTGCAGTCGTGCCCGACTTCGGCCGACAGCATTCATAGCGGCCTCCGTGCGGCGGCGTTTTGAGCTTCTGCAAACAACGAAGAACTCGGGCCTGGAACTTCATCGCGAAAACGGCATAGCTTCCCATCCTCCCTGACCGTTAATGTATTTTGTATCTTTGCTCAGAGGAGTTTCGTCCACCCGGCGGCGGTTTCAAAAAGCGATGTTTGGCGGAGGCTGAACGGCTCCTCTACCCATTCCCAAAGTTACAGAGTATTGAAAAAACGCGGTAATTTCGGTCGGTAACCGGTGAACACAGCTACAAGGTATGTAATTTCAGCAGAACAAATAGTCGCAAAATATTCAGTGTTCTATTAGCACGACCTCTGACAAATCTGCGATTCGGCTAACGTCCACAGTGTATTCACAAACCCGCTTGTGCCCAAGCAGGTCTGGACTGTGGTATTTCACAATGACTTCGACTCTAAGCGTTATAGCGTGATGGCGTCACCTTGCCGTTGCCAGGAAATCTTATGTTTGTTTATACCCCAATGCCAATTAAGAAATGTTTAACGAAATGCGTTTAATTTTATCTTATGGTCCGTGAATTTCAAATGGCCGTGATTGATCTGAAACTTATAATCTAAATGTCCCATAGCATTGAAAGTCAGCCTATCTGAACATCAATTGATTATTATGGATCTTCAAAACGCAAAGTAAGCCTTTGAAACGTTAATGTAATAAAAGAATGCAAATCCAGGAAACGGAGAGGAGCGAGCGTGAAGTTAGAAACGGCTTAAACTGGTGCGAGTAAAAGCGTAGAAACGAAAGCGTAGAGTGACTTTATAAGCGTGGCAAAATGCGATTTGTATATATCCACCGCCCAGCAGACTTCATATTTAAGTAAAATAAGAAGCGTGGGTGACTTCAGCTGCTACGTAGCCGCCCTTTACCTGTTCTTCCTTCAAGGTTCCGGTATACGTCCTGCGTAATCCCAGCTCAAAACAAACTCATCCTTTGATAGTGTCGTAGGTACCACGCGCGCCCGCATATTGTAGACGCCTTCATTGAAATTATATTCTGGTTTCGAGTCCCAAGCCATAGATCCTGGTTGATTCTGAAGTTCCAAGCAGAAATAAAAGTCGTCGGCGATTGGCTAGTGAACCGACGTTTCGGTTGGCATTCAACGCCTGCTCGTGCAGCGTTTGAGTTTTGAGATAAGATTAAACTTTATTCTTCCCCATGGAAACCAGGAATCGTTCCCCGAGCTCCATTGTCGCAGTTCTAATGATGCTGACCATAACACCGCCATGACTTTCCAGTCCAACAAACGCTTCATCAGCCAGAACGGGTGGCGCAATTAACATTTATCAGCCGTAGTCGCATGCGAGGGATACTGGCCGATGTGTAGATCCTCATGCCCAAACTCTAACTGTTCCTCTGCCAATGCCAGAGACATACACACTTGTTGGAGAACGCCTCTTGGCTTGCCATGGGTTGACAAACTGGAACACATTCATCAACACGGGTATCATCATCAACTGTAACATCTATGTATATATTGTAAACAATGTTATCTTGCCTCCCCATAAATTTCGCCGCGTATCGATTGGCTGCGCTGTCTATTATTTTCAATGTACCCGCTGGGAATGCCAAACTCATCGGTACTTCAGAGTAGTAAGTCTTTATCTTGAATAACATTGAATCTACATGATGATGTACAGAAATCACCGATGTTTTGCGAATGCAAATCGATGGAAGGAGATAACTCTAAATTGTTTTTCTTTGTCAGCCTGGTACTCCACACTCATGATCCTGATACCCGTGCTTCAAACAGTCTCAAAAATTACCATTTAGGTGTTTGGTAAGATAGTCGTTGTTCATTGGAAGTCCCTTTAGCTCCATGGAGTTGATGTACCCTCGATGTTTGTTTTATGTTAACAAACACCGAGGGTACATCAGCCCATGGCCCTCCCCAGACCAGTGAACAACTTTCTATGTCTGTAGTGCAGATACAATGCCAAGTGACTTTATATATTGTATAAAACAACCATGTCGGCATCACACCAATAACACATACCTTTTGACAGTTTCCTTATTCCTTTACCACCCAACTCTTGAAATGCAAAGTAAGAATGAGACAATACTAGTTGTCAGACCATACCTGAAAAGACTCAAGGTCTGAGCCCCCATCAGCAAACTCAAACAAGATAAAACAGCTGGTTTTCATCAAACATATCTGAAACAAACCAGAATATAGCACAATTTAGTATGACACATAGTTCAAGAAAGAAACAAGCTAAAGAAATTAAGGATTATTTGTTAACAGCATTAATCCAATCTATAAAAAATAATCTGAGTTTCGAATAGGTAAGAGGTACCTCATTGACCGAGTTAGATGGATTTAGCCCCTTTAACTAGTACCAGTTCAATCATGGAGTTTCAGCATAATATGCCCAATGTGTAGATCAGTCTGAGACACTGATAACCTTGTTGAATCCCACAAGAAAGGAAGGATGAGATGCTGGCAAACCAAAGATCAAGGGCATTTTAGGGATTTGAGGTGAGGCGAGGTGAATTTGGGTGTAACGTTGTGCTTGAGAATATTTAGCTCATATGATGACGTGCATGCGTGTGTATGTGCAGCTGCTTGTACTAGCCCAGACTGAAGCTGGTTTTATAGTGCTAGCCCACTGAGATACCATGCCGCAGTGAAGTATGAATACCCCACTCAGACACAGTATACTGACTCCAAGCCGACCAGTCCTTGTTGTAACCATTAATGCTGAGCTAGGCAGGGACCAACAAGTACCATATTTTAACATCTTTTGAGTATGACGAAGTCGGGATCGAACCCCCGACCTTCCGCTCCTAACCACTACACCGAGGCGGTTGCATGGTGTTGCATGATGTAGCTCCTGAGTACATCAGTAACTTCCTATCAACCTACACTCCAAGGAGAGATCTCAGGTCAAGATCATCAAGCGCACTTGATGTTCCTATGACCAGGAAAAGACACTATGGGGATAGATCGTTCTCCAAAGCCGGCCCCTAGCTCTGGAACTGTCTTCCTCGGCACATTCAGAATTGTCAATCTCGACCAGTTTAAGCAACAACTGAAAACCCACTTGTTCAACATAGCCTTTGCCTAAGCGCCTTTGAGCTATTTGGAGCAATATGTATAGTAACTTTATTATAATGTTTGTGTTTATTCAATATACAGTCATCCAATAATTAAAATTGACCATCTAGTTGCTGTCTTTATATATTTGTATTGCTGTTTTAGGTTCACACTATGTACATGTGTACAGGCATCAGTTGTTGAGGGCTAAGGTAATTTTCCAAAAAATAATAGACCCAATGGGAAATTATTTGGTTTTGAACAACCATGAGGAAGCAGTGCTAAGGGAGGCAACTCTGTCCATTCCAGATGTAACAATGAGAAAAGTGAAAAACCCATGATAAACAAACTGTTAACTTTCCAAAACAATTTTATTCATATTTTCAGTTGAATGTTGTCAAACATATTTGTTTGATTCTGATGGAAAGTCAGTAATTAACAAAATGAAGATGAGGAGCAATAGGATATGAGCACATGAAAGTCTCTCACCTGGTCGATCGTTTTCCGACTTCCTTTTCTTGTTGTAGATATCCCACTGTGCTAGCAGCTGGTCAGGGTAGCAGCCTTGCACACACGCCACACTACAAACATGGAAGAAGATAAGGATCACTGACAACATTAATTACACATGCAAAACTAAACATGACTAGCGTTATCTCTGTTGGGTCAGTTTTCAATTTCAGATTTTAAGGTGAGTTTGTTATCTGTGGATTTATACAAGCACCAACTGTGTGTGGCAGTGAGTGTATGCCGTGTCTGTGTAACTATCTTGGCACTAACCTGTTGACCTCGACAGAAGTTGGGTGTGGTATTCCTACCCTGGATATGGAGGCCGCTAAGTTCTCTGTGGATTACAAGCAGTGATTAAGAGACCACTTTGAACATCCCTTGATGCCACATTTCTGACACGTGGCCAATATTTGTCCATTATGATAGACATTTTTTCATCCAGAAACTTTTTCACCCAGAAACATTTATAGTATTCACTCACAGACTAAGGATCATAATCAGGCCCCGATTTCTTGAAGCAAACTTAAGTTTTTACTCAAATTTCAAACTGAGTTTGACAATTTGAAACAGCTGAAGTTTTAACTCAAATGCATTTTTGAAATAAAAAAGCCAAAACAACTTAGGTAATCCATCCTCCAAACTCAAATTGTCTATTAAGTTTGAGTTTAATATCAATTTCAGTTCATTCTGGGAAATGCGTTTTCCTGCATTTTCTAAAATTTGAGTAAAAACTCTAACTTAAGTCAAAACTCTTTCGAGAAATCGGGGCCAGGTCATATATTTTATGAAGCATATGAGCACAAACAAGGCGGTGAGAGACCAGGGATTACACTTACTCACAGGTCATGACATAGTTTATATTCTGTTTGGTGGGGACTTACGTTGAGATAACAACTTCTGGCAGAATCTCCGAGAATGTTTTCTGCGGTTCATCATTCACCTCAAAAGTCGCCTTCTATTGGAATAATCTGAAAGGGGAAAGTAACAGTGGTCAAAACTGATTGCAACAGATGCAGCACTAGTCTATTTGGTGTGTTACCTACGGTTACAGTACAGCTGGCTAAAGTTGCAGACTTCATTTGCCTAGTAGAAAGTAGTGAAACAGCTTTCCAGACACAATTTTGAAAAATTGTTATTATATATCATGTTCATACATGCTTATGGAGATAATCCATATGATGTTTTAGTCACTGGTCTGAGTTTAGTACACTGTCACTTCTGTCTAGTCTAAGCTCAGCTCATAATAGTCTCAAAATAACTATTTGCCAAATATGATAACTTTGATAGTTCTGTTCAGCAATAGACTCAAATGATTTTTGGTACAGACTGAATGTATGGAATGAAGAAGGAACAACGTAATGCGACAGCAGCACAAACCAACAATCAAACCATCTACATAAACATCCCAGTCCATAATAAACATGAAAACACACACAAACATTGTCTGACATTAACAACCTGATGAAGAAAATCCAGCGGTTCAGAGAATGGTGTGATTACAACCAGCAAGCATGGCAAGAACTAATCTAACATACAGTAAAAATGCCTTTATAATGAACTCCAAGGGACCACTGAAATTAGTTAAGTTATATCCGTCCAGTTCGCTATTCCCCGAAATTCCATTGAAGAACAATAAAGACATACTGTACAGTCCGATTCACTCCTACTCAGTTTATTGTATTTCATACGACAGTGACATTGTTCCACTACAAAGTCTGTGATCTTACTTTGTCCATGCTTGGCCAACTGCATAAAACGTGCTACAGCCTCATTTAAATTGGCGAAATTAGTACTTTTTGAGGTAAACCTGGCAGCTGAGAAGTTAACCAATCACTGACGAGGTCAGGGTTGACTGATGAATGATTTACCAATGATACCTAACTTATGGTCACTGATTTCAAAGTGAGCACCGGCTTATTGGCAGTGACACTGATTGAGTTAAGCTCAGTTCGTTATTCACACTGTTAATTAGTGTTAACTGGGACTCCGGGGATTGCAAATCAGTTCGCTATAGCCATTAAGTTCGTTACAGAGAATTCGTTATTCACGTCTTTTTTATATGATAATATACAGAGGTTTATTTGGGACTTTTAAATCAGTTAAGCTATAGCCGTCAGTTTGTTATATCCATGTTCATTATAAAGGTATTTTACTGTAGTTCAACATTTCATTTTTCAAATACATCCAGAACATTAAGACATGCACCCTACCTTGATGTAGGCTACTGAGTTCCCACAGCGATGAGCTCGAAGACTTCACCCATTACCCCCCCTCACCAATCTTCACAATCTTCTTCATCATGCTGAAGTGAAAGAAAGAAGTTATACATTGCTAGCATAGCCTATACATGTATTGTCATTCACATCCTTTGGGGCCAAAGTACATCTTCTTCATCATGCTGGAAAGAAGTTATACATCTCTAGCATAGGGAAGGTGGGGTAGCCTAGTGGTTAAAGCGTTTGCTCGTTCATGCCGAAGACCGGGTTCGATATTCCATATAGGTACAATGTGTGAAGCCTAAAGAAATTGGTAAACCAACTCACCCTCACTCTAGCATAGCATTACATGTATAGTCCCGTTCATCCTTTTAAGAATTTCGGTATATATGTATTATACAAAGGAGACCAGTAAGCAGGACTAAATTAATCAAGCTCTAGTATTGATTCATTATATAGAAGGAACAGAATGGTGTCGTTTTCAGCATGTGCGGTGTGGCCCGTTGGGTGCAACGTTGAAACTACAAACAAACACTGGTTGGCCTTGCCTTATAGTTTAGTGCAGCAGGTAGCAATTGCAAACAAACATAGCTTTTGCCAATATTCATATAGCGAGGACTGAGAATGAACTGAAGGTGGTATGGACTGGCTTTAGACAGCTATTCCAACTGGTAATATCAACGAAAAGAGGAATACTGTCTATAGAATAGACTTCGGATGACATGTCTATAAACCAATTTAAGGACTTGAACCCGCTGGCATTCTGAGGAAGGAGCGCTAACTACCCATTTAAGGCTGGCCACTTCTATCCCTCATGCTAGCTAGAGATATTGATGACTTGTCATTGTTAAACCAACAACGACATCCATGCTAGACCCGATATCATGGAACAATCAACACGCCAGCTAAGGTATAAAGTAAGATTCCAATGATGGTAGATCCTCACTGAAGCTGGTAGCATTTGCATGGAAATGGGAATTCATTAAGCTACATTTGCGGTGAAACTGAATAAGGATGAAAGGAAAATAAATATTAGAAAAAATAAAATACAACTTAATGGGCCGCTGCTTGTTGAATCAGGACATAGCTTCTGATGAATAACCATTCTTCTAGAAGTCCCTGCACTTGGGTTTGGAATCCTGGGCAGATTTACACTGCACAGCCAAGTAAGTCCTGCTTTTATGAACCGCACTGTTCCTCAGAGCAGTGAGGGCGCTTAACTCTCAAATATAATTAGCACTCATTTGGTAGAAATGGCTGATGTCTGGTTGTTAGTTTGATACATTTATTCTTTTCACTATTCTATCAAACCTGCTTTGGTAGTGAGTTACAACTAACCAATGGGGTGAGGTGAAGGTGGGAAATTGGGTTTTAGCATTCGTGCTTGAGATATTTGTCATATGGCCGGCGTGCATCTGCGTAATAATGCAGCTGTTGTACTAGCAGACTAGAAGCTATGGACTTTGCTGTGTGCTAATACCATCTACCATACACCGCTGGTAAATATGGGTCACCATGGGCGCATTATACTGACTCAGGCCGATGGTGCTGGTATGCCCATTATTACCCGGCCAGGCAGGGACCAACAAATTACCTTATTTTAGTATGTTTTGGTAGCGATTGGGGGATCGAACCGTGACCTTCGGCTCTGGAAGTTGGCTCTAACTTTCCACTACACCATGGGTGATGCGTGGCTATTACAGAGAACTATGCAAAGTGGAATGATTGGATGAATGCTGGGTACAATTTCATTTTTTTCCTGCACCAGGTTACAAACAAGTGAATTAGTCAAGTTACATCAAAGAATATTGGCTACACCATGTTATAAACAGACCTCTTTACACTTTTTTAATCTGGTGAGTGGTAATCGGTTCACCGCAATTACACCACGATGAAAGTTAATGGGATATTCAAAACTTAACACACTCACTTATTTAATGGTGGAAAGTTATACCAGTAAAATTGTTGCCATGGACTGGGTTGCAGCCTGACAGAATACCCAGCACTAATATTAATTTTCCTACACTAGACAAGCAAAATTGGTCCCTAAATAAGTTAGGCGGCTTCGGTTGTTTTGAGTTTGTTTTGTGTGTTCTATTTATCACTAAACTTACTTGTCAGGGATGATGACATCCCTGGGATTCTGGACCCCTTCTGTTCACACATCTGGAATGGATTTACGTCTAGGCTGATAGTGGAGAGGGATGACCGTGGTTCTTGTTGGGCGTCAGCATCTCGAATTAGTAACAACAGACATTTAGGCTTGGAGTCAGAAAATCCTGTTTAAGAAGAAAGGAACCCTCTAAAGAAGTCTATATGGATTCAAAGGGGTTTCTCAGGACAAAATCACTTTGTGGAGCAGGGTCCAGGACAGTAGATCTGCAGGTCAGACCTTAGGAGTAAATGCTGATTACATTTTATACTTATTTCAAAAGTGTGACAAATGCAAACAGAATTAAAATTGGATCGATGTAAACACCAATGGAGATCCTTGGTCAGATGAAGTGATTATATCAAACACTATCAGGATTCTTTTATTCCCGGATACCTTTACATATGAAAAACATCTGCACCTGAAATAAAACTCAAAGTATGTGTGATATTCAACAGACACAACATACTTTTAGCCAGATCAATAGATATGAAACAAACAACTCACAACAAATGGCCGTGACATGTTTCCATCCTCAAAGTCTTCTCAGATGCTTGTTCTTCCCTCTTGTCTTTGCCTGGCTTGTCTTGCTGCACAGCTTTCGATCTCGGCAATGATTCGGTGAAGGATCGTCTGTCACAAGAGTAATACACTGACTTCTATTAATCCTTGCGGAGATCCAGGAGGACAGCTCCATCTCCTTACCTGTTAAGTTCCCTGGCCACCATCCTCACCTGTCAAACACCACTCACTACATCACCATAAGAGAGATATTTTGTCTCATCCATCCCATCATCTAGTATCAACATCTGGAAATTATCAGCATCGATATCATCATCTTCATCTTCTTAGGTCCTCACTGAGTATCACTGAGATCCTCCTCCTCTTCTTCTTCCCTCCTCTTCTACAGAGTAATCAATTACTCGCTTCCTCCTCTTCTTGTTTCCTCAGCAAACTGAAGAGTCCTCTAGAGCGGAATTTTCCTTGGAAATCATCTTGTGACCTTAACTTTCCACCACTAAGTTTACGATAATAAGGCGTGTGTTATACATTTTGTCTTTAATGGCGATAAACTGCTGTCACCGGCCGTGAGCCAGGCTATCTCTCATTTTTGTGCACCGCGCAATATGGGTGTTGCCTACTAGGTCCAACCGTTCCTTGACAGATGCTGATAGCCTGACTCCATGGAACATCAAACAGACTCTTAAAGGCTGCTGGAATGCGAGGGCCTGGAGTGGGGAGTGATGCTCCCACATCGTCCTGGTCAACCTTACGTCTCCGTGAGCGCTCACATATGTGCATGTTCTGGAATACTATCCTGCTTGAGTTCCTGCCCACATCCTTCAGCTTCTTCCGTTCTTTATCAACAGAAGATTATCCTCCACTGACCTCATAGCATTCCCAGACACACTAAAGATGGGCTGGCACCATAGCCCTGGAAGTTCTACCCGATCATATAGGACATTGAATGTAAAGCGAGTCTTGTAAGAAATGTGATGATGGACACAAGGACGCCAGCCAAGGTCAATAGAGATATATTGGCATCCTTTATCCTCCTTGATATGTAGGCTATTCTTTGCGGCACATCACAAAGGAGTGCATCTCATTCTGCGAGTCGAGGCTTTGTTTGTGGGCTTCTTGTGGCACTTTGTGGGTGTCCAGACAGAACAAACGGACTGTAATCATCAAACTGCAGCTGAAGTAGCAGAAAGATCATCTTTTTCTTCTTCACTGGCATGTTTTGTCGAACTTTCACGAGTTTGTCGTTGGCAGGACTTCCACAGGACGGAGAATCATCCAGGCCATTTTTCTGTCCCTTAGAATCCTCTGATTCCACAGCCTTGGCTGAGAAACACTAAACTTTCTCCTCAGTTGTGAACAACTCTCCTAGAAAATCCATCAAAATGGGTTGTAGTGCAGGACAGACTTTCTTAGTTTTATAGTAGCTTCATTGGGTGTAACTGCCTCAGCATTTTACAATACTCTGCCAACGGCGATTGGCACTTCAGTCCGGCGATCAGTGATTGGTAAGGCACCTGGGATGCCAAGGGACATAAATCAGCAAAGTCTTGAGCCTGAGCCACCTAATCCATTTGGTCCCCAAGATTTTAGAGTGAGTTGGTTTTCAAAACTCACTGGCATTCTGGTTTCCTTTTACACGAAATTAGAACAAGGCAGTTAAGCTCGACTTCAATTCGATTTTTTATAACGGTTGCGATTCGATTCTTCATACAAATAAAATCAAATTTTATTTCTTTCAGAGTCAACACCAGCGCGTGAAATCCATAGATAGCCTAAGCGTTATCTACTGGCAACAATTCTTATTGGATAATTAGCCTGGCATCAAAGCCAATCCGTTTGGCTTTTATTTTGATGTAACGGCTGCTTCGGGTTCGGAGTCAAAATTCGTTCTTGCTATGTGCAAATAATTTAAATGATTCTTCAAAGTATTGTATCGAGAAATGGTAGTGGTTGCTCGAAAATTTGAACTAAAAGGTGTAGAGATTTGATTTGGAATTAAGATGGTTAATCAGCTAATTGCTTTATCCAATGGGAGAAAGGCTGAAGTGATGCAAATCTCAGATGTCTTTATCCTTTAATTGAAACACATGAACCTTGGTATAGTTGCTCACTAATGAAAATAAGGACAGGAGTCAGCGGGCAAGATCAAGGCATGCAAAGAGTGATGCAAATGACAACGAATTGAGTGACGTGAGCAGCTGACCAATTTGCCTGGCTGGATTAAGCTAATTAAGATGTTTATATGTACTGATAGAGAACACCACTGAGGTATGTCAATCAATGCTGACATATTCTGTTATTTATGGGTTGGCTAAAACACTTGTACAAATTAATAACACTTTTATGTAGTATATGGTATGTTAAGGGCTATGAATCTTATTAGACCTTGAATTAAAACAATTTTAACTTTGTGCACATTAGCAATGGTGGGTGAGTGAGTATGGTTTACACAGCTTTTAGCAATATTCCAGCAATATCGGCCGGGGGCCTGGGAAATGGGCTTCCCGCACATTGTATCCATGTGTGGGGAATCAGACCCGGGTCTTGGCCTTGTGGTAGCTCTAACCACTAGAAGCCACTGCCCCACATTGGCGAAATATAAATGCAAGTGCATTTTGAACCCTGAATAGGCAGGTATATACCTGCATGCTGGCATTTAAAAGAGAGAAATTATTCTACGTGCCTTTTTCTGTTTTCTTTGAGAAAACAATTAAATTTTTTCCCCTTTAGCTATTTTTTTACAACACTTGGTTCTCCTTATTTACCCCCTTTGTTTTGCAGGTGATGGGTTCTTGGTGTTCTTGAGTATTCTTGGCTTTCCCATATAATCCCACATACATAAGGAGAATACAAACAGTCTCTTCACAAAAATACAAATCCATTTACAGGGTTTGACAATATAACTGATGGGTTGAAATGATGCTCTGGTATTCCTGTAAAACTACTTTTATGTTTTGGTAGGACTGAAACACTACCAAAGATAAAAGCAATAGTCCTGAATATTTATTATTTCTTTCCATTTTCCTAAACTTTAATTTGATTCAAAGAAAAATAATAAGATTATGCATATCTACAAGAGATAAATAAATCTGTTTCCAACTTTCTGAAAAGTCGGATACTAGTAATAACTATATATGGTGTCGAAGTAGAAAATACATATAAAAGGCTACTTTGTACAGTTAGACATGCTCTAAATCATACACAAATTAAAACCTTAGAAAGGGATAAATTATAACTATTTTCTCAAAGCCCTCTCAAACATATCTTAACATGACTCAAAGCTAAATGAATACTGGTTACCACAAAATATTTTGGAATATTTACAGCCTGTACAAAAATCATAGGGATTATTGGGCCTAGCTATCATGACTAAAACTCAGAGAAATGAAAATATATTTACGAGGGGTTTCTTTGGTCCTGTGTCTTTCTCTTGTCGATAAATATGGACATCACTGTCTACAGAGGACCCAGGTTGATGGACTAGACTGAAACTAAACACATGCTTCTTCATGTCTTCATCAAATCCCAAGACATCTGTGGCCCATCATGGTTCCTGGCTGAAGCCATATATCAATTACCTAAACATCCTTCCGCCCCATATTTCATATGATAGAAAAAGCAATTGGCATCCTGTTTCTGATTGTAAGACAACAGTTTTTGGTTAAAGCTAGGTAATTCAATATACAGATTAAGATCAAACATGACATAATTTCAATTACTAACGTTATGGTCATGTAGGGCCAGAGGCCAATTACACCAAAGTGATCACAAGGGCCATGCTAAAGCTAAGTTTGCTATGTGCATGGGCCCCTGTAATTACAGTGTAACTAATAGAGACATTCTCCTATATAATGGCCTCAGTTTAATCAAGTGACTTTATATTTTTTAGCAGTGTACAGATCACCTATCCGAGATATAATAATAAGCATTTTATAAGTGGACCAGCAAATCTATGGCAGGTTTAAGCCAATACATTTTTATACCCAGCCAACTCTGTTTTGTGGTTGTCCCAATTGAAACATAGAGAGAATTAATGATCAGATAACAAGTCTCATTAAAGCTAATATAAAGCTAATTCAAATTAATTAGACAAACAATTATAGAAACAAGTCAATGAGGTGCTTGACCAATGTGAATAGGTTGACCGTAATCCATAATTATACACCATTTCGACACCCCAACAGACAAGCTATTGATCTTAAGGAAAATATTACTTCACTCAACTGGCACATGTATAGAGGTGCTTAGGCACTTCAGGAATAAAGCAGTTTTTTCAAGACATATAGCCAGTTATATTATACACTATGATGCAATGTAACTAGTTAATAAACAATGGTTTTCATGAAATTGTTCATTTGACATGAAATCCATGTTTTTCCATGTTTTACATCAGGACAGGTGTTGTTGTGTTCCAAGGAGATGATACAGGCATGGCTCTTGTATCGTTATTTCTATAAAGCTTAAATTAGGAGATTTGCATAAATGTGTTATTTTTAAAGAATCCGGAGAACAGACGATGCTTGACATCCAAATAGGTATGTCCATTATATCCTATTTCAACACCCAAGATGTATGAATCGCTGTGCAGTGTTTGTTTTCAGAATCATTCATGAAAACAACTCCGACAAACATGATCACCTAACCCTGCCTGGTACTATATTGCATTGGTGTTTAGAGTTTATAGCTCACGGGTTAAGAGATCGTGTTGGCGAGGTAGACGGCATCGTAAACAACACTTGAACAGTTAAAATTAAATTTACCGTAGTCAAAATCGTGGCGCCATGTTCAAACAAATCAACAAGTGTTCACAGTTGGCCTTTTGATACCTCCCTATTGATTGGTCGGTCTCCGCAGACGTCACTTCCGTCAACAATGCCATGTGTTTGCTAAATGAGACCGTCAGTGGGGTCAGACTTTAGACTAGAGTAGAAGTGTTCAGAATCATTATTGTTTTTTTTGTTGCGGGGCATCGACACGCGCACTCTCTCAAATATGTCAGGAATAAAATGGATGCAACTGGACACCACTCATTGTTGAAACAAGCTTGTGAGTATATCGCATGACTACTGTAAGGATGAAATAAACATCTTACCTTCCTTGTACCTCCTGAAGTTTACCTGGGCTCTACTTGGGATGGTGAAAGAGCCTCAATGCAAGGTGTGCACAGTTTACTTTGTCATGTTATCAAAACACTACTACAATGATCCTTAGGGTTTTGATAACTTTACATCAGAAAGTATTAATTAAGAAAACATTGCAGAGTAAATTGTCAAGTGTATACATAGCTTATAAGAAAGGGTCAGTGTGGCCATTTTGTTTGTGTGTGTAGCCATTTGACCTGTTCCCTTTCCCAGGGACACTTAGGTTTATCAGCCAGAAGATCAAATGCTTTTCAGTGAAAGTAACATAGAGTTTATTTCATATTATTCTGTCACAGGGGAAAACTGTGCCAATTTACAAGTTTACATGTATGGAGTTCGACATCATTTATTTGGATATTTACAGAAATGGGTACGCTGGATTGTCATTATAGACATACATTGCCATAGCAATACAAAGAGATTTTGCAATACCACTCCTCAATGACAAACCTTGTCAAAGTTCAGATACTAGACTATACTCAAAGGTTTCCCATTTTAGGGTTAGGGTTCACCTGATTTGTTCTTTTATGTTAGTATTGCTGCAACAGTTCTGTCCTTCCTTACTTCCTTTAGGTAGTGTATTTTCAGGGCTAAATGTCACTTATTACATTGGTTTCTTTTTGTCCCTAGATTCTTCAAGCTGGATCTTACTAAACCACTGGCCGCCATATCCCTTGTCCAAGATTCTTAGTGAGTCGGACTGCAGTTCTTCTGTCATTGCTTAGCACTTACGTCGGATCAGACTCTATTTATCCTGCCGACATGTGATCTATGCAACAGATCTTTAAAAGCTGTATCAAACAATACCGAACCAGCTCGCATCCACTTCAGCTAGACATTACACATAGGGTGATATAGAGAAAATCAACTGCAAATTGCAGAAACAGACAGACTGGATCTCATCAGCTCCATAGGTATGCATCCATCAGAGTGATGGAGGAAACAAATCTCAAGGATGCTTATCTTCAGAGGTAATAGTGGCATTCAGGAGTCTTTTAAAATCAGATTTCTTTGTATCTTATATTTTTTATTTTGTTTGCATTTCATAGTTGCTCAACACTTTGACAAATTTATTTTATATTTTGGATGGCTTTGATGGGAATTTAAGTTCCTGGTCTATATTTTATGACTGCTTTATGTATTGGGTTACACTTTTCTCTGAAAATAGCATTTTGTCAAGTG